ACACACACACACACACACACACACACACACACACACACACACACACACACACACACACACACACACTAATTCTCTCTAATGCCTGATGGAAATGATAATCACACCGTCTCCTCCTTGCCTCAGATTGCAGTGGCACTGCTATTTATCTCCTCATAAGTTTATTTGAGGGGTCATTAAACTGGGCTTTGAGTTGAGGGATAAAGCAGTGAATCATATAGCCAGTTCCATCAGTTGGCCTGCTTAATATGGCCACCACATATGTTTCTTTGCTAATCGTCCCGAGCCATGAAGAGGGATGTACTTAAAACAAATTGATACGTAACAGAGAGAGAGAGAGAGGGAGAGAGAGAGAGAGAGAGAGGGGAGAGAGAGAGAGAGAGAGAGAGAGAGAGAGAGAGAGAGGGAGAGATATGTGATTTTGATAAATCCGATAATCTCTCTCAGTTCTCTTGGCATGGTTATTATCGCATTTGGTGCAGGTCTGATTTATCATTCCATTTGGATGCGTGTGTCCAAAACAAACACACACACAGGAACTGCTCGCTCTCTGAAGAGGAGCCCGACTGAATCAGCACGCACCGGCACACACCACCGAGCATTGTGCTCTAGAAAATTGCTTATCTTTTTGACATTGAAGAATTGTGATGTTTTTGTTTTCTTCTCAACAAAAGCCGGTAGAAGGCAGTCACATATCATCTATTGGATATCTCATATGAACAAAATGGCGGATGAATTATGGGAATACAAAGAAGAACAATATGATACTGGCATATTATTTTATGCTCATGTTGGGAAAAAGTTGGTGAATGCATGACCTGTTACTGATAGATAGCAGTCTGCCATTCCTCTAAATCTATAACTGATGTAATAACATAACCAACTAATCAAAGGCAAATATACTTTTAGTAACAGATGCATTGCAAATCTATTATTTTGAGTGTGTTTAGAGTCACGAAAAGAAAAACATTATTCTTAATAGCCTTTGTACTAACACCACCTGCTGTTTTTGTCTGCATGTGAATACCATTTTATTAACCCTTTAAGACCCTTTTATTACCTGTTATCTTACCAGAGACGTTGACAGAGACCACTCATTTACATGTCCCATTTGTTACATTACATTACATTATAGTCATTTAGCAGACGCTCTTATCCAGAACGACTTCCAGGCGCAATTAGGGTTAAGTGCCTTACTCAAGGGCACATCAGCAGGTCAAATCATCACACTATCATGACTGCTAGCCAGTCTCTCAATCGCCTGTAAAAGTAGGCATATATACTATTCATGCATTTGACTTTGGACACAATCCAAATACTGAGGTGCAGAGAAAGAAAGAAAGTCTGATGGTAATAGCATGCTGAACACGGTCAATGAAAAGTGTTACCCCGAGCTATGCACGGGGAGATTGAACCCAGCTGATCGACTCTCTGAGAATTGGAAGTAAGTAATAGGTCATCAAAAAGAAAGGTGGACCAAGGCACTCCAATTTAACCCTTTTACCAAAGAGCACCTTCTATCTACAAAGTCCTACTATTGTGTACCCTAGCAGCGCCTTCCTTCCTTCAATTTGGGCCCAAGGACTGATTCAAAGCGCAATCATGATGAGGAACACTTGAGAGTTGGTGAGTCTAGGAGCGGAAAAGAAGCCTTGGTGTGGTACCAGATATAAAGCATGCTTTAGGTGCCATTATAGGACAGCAGAATTACTGTTTGCATATAAGCAGTCAGCATGTACAATGGAATTTGAATTGTCTGTTGACCACATGGTATTGACACATTATGCCTAGAACATTAACGCTACGTTTACACAGGCAGCCCAATTCTGATCGTTTGAAACAAAAATTGGTCTTTTGACTAATTAGATCAGATCTTTTGCCAATAATTGGGCAAAAGATCAAAATTGGGCTGCCCGTGTAAACACAACTATTGCCTGTATAAGATAATGAGTTGTTTCATATCCTGCTTTACATTTACAGCACATACTTATACTGTGTGTTCCTTTGCACACATGCCAACTATTTCAGCAGATCAGCTAATGAATGATAGACTAGGTATTTGAGTCAGACTTGATTTGTTTTAGCTTGTCTTACTAATGTGTAGTGCTTTTTTCCCTGGGCCCTGTATTAACCTGCATTTAGCCTGCGTCTGTTTTATTTCTACCCCAGCGTCAAGAGACAATAGAGGATCAAGTCCAACGCTAAACCACGGGGTCGTTTCACTACGGTCGTTTCAACACTTTGTATTCCTCATTGACATTGATCCAAAGGACGGGGTTGCAGCAAATGAGAAAATCCAGCTGCTGGATCATGAGCCAAACACAGTGGAGAGATAAGCACAAATTGGACCAGAATGTAGCTTTCTTCATTTTGCCCTTCCTCTTTGTCTTTCTGTCTCTTTATCTCCATCTCTCCCTCGCTCGTGCTGAGACAATTGCCCATTGACACACACACACACATTCACACACAGAACCACACACACACTCATACACACACACAGAAGCACACACACACACATACACACACACATAAGCACACACACACACATACACACACACTTTCATATACAGGAGCTCACATATACACATACAGTATACAATTACACACCCACGCACATAATGCACACACACACACACACACACACACAGACACACACCCACGCAAGTGCGCTACCTATCTCATGAGTGATTTCATGTGGAGACTTAATATGCCTCATTATCTGCCCTACTTTACCTTCAGATTTGTTGATGCAAAACCAGACACAATGCAATTTGTATACATGTGTTCCCATCCCCTTGAAGAGCGGTAATTAGAAAGTGCTTAGAGGCTTTTCAAAAGGCTGAGAGAGAGATTCACCTGTCACGGAGACACAACACCTCCGTCAAGGGCTGTGAGTGTGTGTCTGTGTGCTTTCGTGCAAGTGTGTGTGCTTTCGTGCAGGTGTGTGTGTGGGTGTGCATGCGTATGATAGGGTAGATGGGACAAAAATCCCTGCTTCACAATTGAATTAATGGCCAGTTGTGTCTCTCCCAAACGAATGTAGTCTCTCATAAAATCCTCTTACGTTGCAGGAGGACCCTGTTGAATGAGATTTACAAATCTGTCTGACTACCAAGGTGTCAGAATCCAAATTGTTCTGGTACCCACTGCGCAGTATGTGAGACTGGCCTCATGCAGGTAGACTTAATTGTACGTGGATACCTAGCCTACCGCTTCCAGCTGCCAAATGACATTTTTATTACAACACTGTCCCCCTCCCCCCATTCAAAGTGTAACAATTGTTTAGCAGCCTGTGTTGCTAAACATGCAAAGTGTAAGCCGTCTCGGGGGAAATTAAAAGGACAACTGCTCCACCAGGGGGATTATTTCAGACAAAGAATAAAAAATCAAAGATTTATAGCTGGGGGGATATTTATATATCAGACGCCCCTGACCTAGACAGGGCCAGTAACGGCACATCATACTGCGTCAAACACATATGGCAAAGGCTGATTATGTAATAGCTACGCCATTGTTAAAATGAATAGCAGGGAGATAATACTGGGTAACGCCTAGACTACTGTGCAATGCAATAGATGTAGAATGCTTTTCTTATTTGTGGGATCACATAGCTAACTCTTCAGTAGTTTCCCTAGCCATAACCCAGGGTAATGATATTAGTATACCAGCAGTCCTATTACAGATATTAGACCATACCATTTACACAATAGGTCAGAATTGATTCCAAATCAAATCAACGTTTATTGGTCACGTACACAGATTTGCAGATGTAATCGCAGTTGCAGTGAAATGCTTGTTTTCCTTTCTCCAACAGTGCAGTAATGTAATCCCCAACAAATTTTACTAAATTAATTAAGAAACATCAGAACGAGCAATGTCAGAGTCCGGAATATACATATACAGTATATACATATTATTGTGTGTAAAGACAGTATGGACAGTATATTCATAGAAAAGGTGTGTACAGCAGTAGTTATATAGGATGAGCCATGACTAGAATACAGTATATATATATGAAGTGGGTAAAACAGTATGTAAACATTATTAAAGTGACCAGTGTTCCATGACTCTATGTATGTAGGGCATCAGTCTCTAAGGCGCAGGGTAGCGTGCTGGTTGGTAGCCGGCTAGTAACAGTGACTAAGGTTTAGGGCAGGATACTGGGTGGAGGCCGGCTAGTGGTGACTGTTTAACAGTCTGATGGCCTGGAGATAGAAGCTGTTTATCAGTCTCTCTGTCCCAGCTTTGCTGCACCTGTACTGTCTCTGGGTTCTAGATGGTAGCGGGGTGAACAGGCCTTGGCTCGGGTGGCTGAGGTCCTTGATTTGTTTTGTATTGGTTATCTATAATAGACATTTGAGTGCAATTCATATGTCTATGAGAATCTCGGGTCTATGATTGTGATTAAAATACAGATCGAGGCTTTTTGCCTGATTGCAGGACCCAGTTCTGGGTTGGGTTTGATGATGATAATTTATTATTTAGCAAACACAATCAGGACGTACAGAGAATTCGAGATAGCCCACAGCCATGCTTGGCATTTGCCTTGATTAGATAACATGCTGTCTCGATTGCGGGAGATCATGTTCACTGGCAGTTCTCTGCTTGGGGCAGAGCTAAATCAGCTAATTCAATGTCATTACCGAGTACCAAGTGCTTCTATGTTTTTTCTCTTACTTAGTGATGGCAATACATCAGCTTCCTTTCAATAAGGGTGTGATCACAATTTACTTACGCTCTTGTGTTAACATTGCCAGTAGCTATTGTGAAAATTAAGTCCCCTGTAGCTCAGTTGGTAGAGCATGGCGCGTGCATGCCAGGGTTGTGGGTTCATGTCCCACGGGGGACCAGTATGAAAATGTATGCACTCACTAACTGTAAGTCGCTCTGGATAAGAGCATCTGCTAAATGACTAAAATGTAAAATGTAATTAACTGAATAATCCAATGCCGTTTTGGACATTAGACGAGTAATGCATTTGTGACATCACGTCAACTGCGAAGATGCTTGCTATTGTGGGTGCCAATTGTAAAATGTTGATGTTGCTGTTGCATAAGTGGTTGTTATAATGCCATTGATGAATATCTAAAGACATAAGCATTTACCTATGCTGTTTTTCTTGTAGGGAGTTTGCGCGTTGGAAGGTGAGGAACACAGCCATTGAGAGGAGGGACCTTATCCGGAACCCCGTGCCGCTCATGCCAGACTTCCAGCGCAGTGTCCGGTTGCTAGGGCGACGACCCTCCACTCAACAGTTCATCGACACCATCATCAAGAAGTATGGAACCCACATCCTCATATCCGCCACCTTGGGAGGTGAGAAAGCATATATCTACTTGTACTTTACTAAGACACCAGTGGTGGGCCACAAAAATGGCTCCCGGGCTGCCAGATGATGACTCCTTATTGTGGTTGGTTTGACATAATTTTTTGCTGTTATATACATACAAAGTAATGTCCATTGTCCATGCCACTTTCTTGATGGGAAAATAATGGGAAATAGATGGGATATCGATGGGTAAATTGGTAGTTTTGACAGTCAAATGAGCTTATGCATGGCTGGTCATAATAGAATGGTAAACCCATCTAAAACCTGCACTGGTTCTTCTCATGGTTCTGTCCTGTTAAGATAACATTTGAGGTGGTTTTATCTGATTTAACATTTTATATCAACCTGCCACTGACAATTTTGGAGCTCATGCATTTTACAGGCAAGGCCCTGCTTTAGAAACATATATTTTTCTGTTTAAATCTAGGATTACACTTGAATGTCAAACAGTCAGCTTCAATAATTCAGTTAAAGCGAAAGTGGGGGATTTCATAGGTAGACGTTTAGAATTGCAATATCATATATACAAGCCTGCAAGGTGATTCACCCTAACACACTAATTATGGAATTCAGAAATGTAATATTGTGGTGAAATATGATGCTTAGGTAAAATATAAATACGTTAAAAATAAAACCATCTCCAAGCAGGATGATTCACTGCTACCACAAATGCAGACGTGATTAAAGGTTAATGATATAAGGAATCTTGACACAAAGAACTGATTGCAATGTTGCAGGTTATCTTTATTTCTCTTCTGTTGTGTCATGGGGTCTGTCTTCTGACGATGAAGAGGAGGGAGAGAGAGAGCGAGAATATACGAGAGGAGAGAGAGAGAGCGAGATGATAGAGCGTGAGGAGGCTCTCAAGTTCGATAGGCTCCTCTCTCTCTCTCTCTCTCTCTCTCTCTCTCTTCTCTCTCTCTCTCTCTCTCCTCTCTCTCTCTCTCTCTCTCTCTCTCTCTCTCTCTCTCTCTCTCTCTCTACTAACTAAGTTTCACCATATCATGTTTAACCTTGAAGGCATTTCAGAGAGTAATGTTCTAGAAGTCACTCATCTCAATCTCTGGGTTGCACATTAAAGAAACACCATTATGTGAGCCGATAAACACAGAAACCAGGAGTGTACGTAAAGCTGGCCTAAAGGCCCACAGCTATTACATCTAAGGTGATAAAGGAGTACAGAAAAGACAATGTTCTCTTCGCCAGACTCACTTTATGAGCTAAAAGGAGTCACTGTATACTGGGAAAAATGGGTCTGTCTGATGGCCGGCCCCATTGAGAATGTGTGTTGGTGTGTGTGTGTGTGTGTGTGTGTGTGTGTGTGTGTGTGTGTGTGTGTGTGTGTGTGTGTGTGTGTGTACGCGCGCGTGCGTGTATGCGTATGTAGCATGTGCATGTGTGTTTGCAGGTCTGTCTTTTTTGGGTCATATGTCTGCAGACACTATTGAACACTGCACATTTAGCCATTGTGCAGTATAATAGTATAATGTAATATATCCTGTAACCCACACAGGTACCATTAACTCCACAATAGAGTACCTATGTCTAGCAATTCCATTGCTTTTAAGCACCAGTAGGCACTCCTAGCACCAGACAGCAGACGGTGTTAATGATATACAGGTAAATCAATACCTTCCCCTCATATATTGCTTTTATATATCCATCATCTTGTATTATTTCATTACACTAGCCAATAAAATCAGGGCCCTGTATGGCAATAATGTATATCCATAAAAATGGGAATGACATCATTGACCATAGACTGAGACAGAGCTTTAGAACGCTGAAGGCTCAGCTCTAGGTATGAATCAATTTAGTCATAATCGAGGCACAGCGCCAAAGAGCTGCCCCAGTAAAATGTAAGACAATGTATTTTTTATGAAAAGATCACCCACAAAGATAAAATATAGCTAAGCTGGCTGGGCCTGACTTTACTGGGGCAAAAGCAGTAAAGTCACATATTTATGTACAGTAGACCTACTTCCAAATAAGCCAGAGAGGGCAAAGCTATAGCGATAGAGGGTTAATGTTGTATCATTATCCTTGTGCAGTAGGTCAAGGGTGTGTGCGTAACCTTCCTTCCCCCGGGGAAGAGCAGGGAGAGTGGGGAGAGAGTGGGGCCATCCTCCTTCCATGCCACGGTACTGCTGTTTCAACCAGACATGAGACATTGGGCCTGACTATCGCCCCCGGTCACAGCCACCACAAGCTAAGTGACCAATCGCAATGCATCGCCAAGGGCCAAATAACCAATCACGATGTGGGGGGTTGTGAACATATGTGACATGTTCTTGAATGAGTTCCAGACAACTTGGCTTGTATGCTCTTTGAACGGCAAGGAGAGGGCGGCGGAGGGAAAATGAGCTGTTCAACCTTTACGAAGTGTCAACAAACAGGCGTTGGCATGCGTACACTTACAGTAGATCACAGAGTCATTGTTTGTTGCTGTGTAAAGGTTCAGGGCTTTCTGCTGGAGTGTTCACTTCTTCTCCTGTGGTATCAGGATGTTTACTTCTAAAGGTCATTCCCTCGGTGTGAAAGCAATCCACTCACTTACGCCCTTAACATATTCAACCTTTATAAACACATAATATGGAGTTATTAGGGGAAAATAAACAGTTTTTGGTGACATTTTTATGTATAAATGGCAATTATAGTCACTCCAGACATTATGATTACAGTGATGTTATAGAGATGGCTTGGAAACTTCAGTAATATTTGTTGCCTAAAGATACAATATACTTTATTGTCCATTTATATGGAAAATCATTATTTGATGTCCGCATACAAATACACAAACACTACACAATATATCACATGCATTACGGGAAACTGAAAAGCTTACATTTTCACATATTCAAAGTCTCTGCGGCCTACTGTCTGACCGTGTATTTGGCCTGCATCTGTCCTATGTCCCACTGTTCAGCAGCCCCATGGCTATTAGCCACTGATGGACAACAAAGTGTGCATACATGAATGAATGCTGCTACCAGGCAAAATAGTAAGTCAACAATGGTATCATATTGTACTGTATCATAAAACAAGTCCCACTTCCTGTCTTCCCTGTAGGTGAGGAGGCATTGACCATGTACATGGCCAAGAACAAGCTGGACAGAAAGTTGGTCAACGCCACTCAGAATGTGGAGGCCCTGCACCAGCTGGCCTCCTCCTACTTCATCGACCGAGATGGCACCATGAGGAAACTCCACGAGATCCAGATCTCCACCAACGCAATCAAGGTATGCATCTTTACACACAAAAAATACAGTACATAAATATGTTCAAATGTGTCACAGTAGTTGGACATAAAATGAATGAGTTTGCTGCTCATTGTTTGCTGCTCCCACAAGTGATCTTTAACTAGGCTGTTGTGATATAAACAGCAATCGACCAACATGATGTTATTCAGGTACTCAAACACATTCCTATCACACACACCTCCAGTCCCCTCCCAGCCACCCTGGAGAGTGTCTTGCCGTCTTTTTGAAGTCCTAAGTGACAGGTGGATGAAGAGGTTCTGGCAGACGGGACGCTGGGTAGCAGGAAGCCAAGCATGACACAATTAAACAGAATTGACAATGGCTGCTGAGTCAGGGCTGGGTGAGAAGTCGAGGAGGGAAGAAGCACACACAGCGCATTCTCAACAGGATAAGTATAGCCACTGTAACCAGCCAAACTGCGTGGAGCAAGAGAAGACCTGTCCTGACTATCTTCTTGACTGACAAACCTGCACTATCTCTGAGTCCTACTGGTGTTGAATAGTTGGACTGTGTATGTGGGAGATATCTGAGTATTATGAAGCGTGTGTGTGTGTGTGTGTGTGTGTGTGTGTGTGTGTGTGTGTGTGTGTGTGTGTGTGTGTGTGTGCGTGCATGCGTTTATCCTCAATCATCCGACATCAAAGAATGTGCCTACTCAAAGCCAAATATTGTTTACACTGAGTACATTACTAATAATTAAATCTTTCTCACACTAGATTTACATTAATCATAAACAGTATCTCATCATATGTCTCAACTGAGGACAAATATAGTTTATTTAGTGAGGGAGAAGGGTTATCAAATCAAGAAACACTTTTATCACATTCATTTAATCCAATAGAATGCAATATGTTGATCCTATTTTCAATTTAGGTGGAATGAACAATTGATCCTTCAGGCGTTAGAAAAGGAAGAAACACTTCATTTATAATTAAAATAAACAAAACAAAGACACTTGAAGGGAACAAAATACCATATAACAAGAAAGACAAAAATTTACAGAATTTAGGAGGAGGAAAACAGTATAACAGAAAATCAATTTGCATTAATTCCCATAATGAAACCGCAACAAAATAGTTTTTTTTTTCTGGTTTGACTTGAAAAGAGGGAAAAACTGAAAGCAAAAATTATTTGAGGCCACTGCCCACACAAATGAAAGTTGATACATATACTATTGAAACGTCTATGCTTTGTCAGAAATACTATTATCCAAAATCTGTTGTGGCTGGGCCAATCTATCCCACTATAAATAAAAGGTGATGGCAGAAGTAAAGTCAGCCGTTGGTCCTACAGTCACGTAGCAGACAGACAACGATCTGTACGCGGAGAGGAAGCTGGGTCTGACGCACAGCCTGGATCTATAGACACAGAACAAGGCCCTGCACTTCCAATATTGATTTAATATGGCTGGGAGTCAAACTTCACAGTGAGATGCTGCGGTCTATAGAGATAACACAGGCACAAAGACATCAATAGAGATGAAAACTAAGACTGTTTCCTGTCTGGCGAGTAAGCACATTTACTGTGTAAAGTTTGGGTTAAGTATTGTGTTTACTTAGTGAAATGTGCGTTTTAAGCTCTGGAGATTGCTATCGTAAGTTTTGGTATTTCATTTCCCTTTACCAATTTTCCATATCCTCATGTTATCATGTTATCACACTCTCAAACACACATGCAGGCACCAGAAATACACACTGTTAGTGTTGTCATATGTCTAGAGTAAGCCCTAATCTTTTTTAGCCTGTACATTCTCTCTCTCCTGATACCTCTTGCTGGAGGACACTTCAATAGTTGAGGCTGTAGCAGAAAAATGAACAGTAGTGTACAGGCATTAGTGTGTGTGCATTAGTGGGGATGGCCTGAGAGCATCCACTGATCTGCCAAGCTGGGCTATATTTATCAACTCCTCATCCCTGGCCCGTCTCCCCAAGCCTTAGCACTGCTTAAGAGGTTCCAGCAACTTGCAAACGTTAATCAAAACTAAGACATCTCCCCACTGCCCCGGTGACGCCCAGGGCAAGCCAGGGACTTGTTATTTTTCTAAGACCCCACACAGGAATTTATCTGCCCAAACCAACAAATGTTTGTAGCCTGGAAGCCTCACCCATCACGTCCTTTCCTTTTGGCTTTAAAACGTTCACAGCCCATGGGTGGCTTAATAGCAGAACTCCAAACAAACATGTTTTTTAGGCCAAAGTCTCTCTGTAACTGGCAGATTTTTTGTTGGGGCTGTGAAGTCTTGGAGTGCCGTGTGTGTGTTGAAATGTGTGTGTGTACAATATATGCTGAGACATCTTTCTCTTGATTCAGTGGCTCTGAAGAGAAAAGGGAGCTCATTAATGTTGCACATCCAACAAGTTCTCACAGACTCACTGCAGAATTAGATGTTCATCTGCAGAATCCACGCTCATTTTTAAGTTGCTACAAACGTCACATTTTGAAGTGTTTTTGTTGCTCCTGCTGCTCCAAATGTCAAATTTCGAAGTTAAGTGTTAAGTTTAGGCACTCATTCCGAACGGTAAAGGTAAGTGTTAAGGTTAGGGATAGAGTTAAAACAAATAATAAAAAAACAGTATCCACAACTGGGATCAAACATGCAACCTTCTGATTGAGAGTCATGGGATTATGCAAATTCGCCAACCCCGTCCACAATGCCTTAGCAAAACCCAAACCTACTTGATGGTAATAGCACTCACTGTTGCCCCTAGTGGCTGGTTTTAAAGGCAATTCCCGACATCCTCAGGATATGGGTAGACGTCCAATTTCGACGTCAATCTTGAACGATCTCTATGGCACATCAGCTTTTATGGAATTCAACTAAAAGGAAAGAGAACACACACACACACACACACAGCTGTCACTAGGCAGGTTGGCCTGTGGTTACTGAGTGATGAGATCAAATAGGAGTATTCCCACAGTACTTAATTTGTCTCCTAGAATATAGAACTGTTCTTCAATTCCTACACATTGAAGAGATGACAACTAAAGTTGCCTAAGAGCATACATTTTTTTCTACTGCTCTTGCAATTATATACACTGAGTGTACAAAACATTAGGAACACGCCCTCAGAACAGCCCAATTCGCCGGGGCATGTACTATACAAGGTGTCGAAAGCGTTCCACAGGGATGCTGGCCCATGTTGACGCCAATGCTACCCACAGTTGTGTCAAGTTGGCTGGATGTCCTTTGGGTGATGGACCATTCTTGATACACACGGGAAACGGTTGAGATTGAAAAACCCAACAGGTTTATAGTTCTTGACACACTCACTAGTGTGCCTGGCACCTACTACCATACCCCGTTTATCTGCACTTAAATATTTTGTCTTGCCCGTTCACCCTCTGAATGGCACACATACACAATCCATGTCGCTTAAAAATCCAAGGCTTAAAAATCCTTCTTTAACCTGTCTCCTCCCCTTCATCTACACTGATAGGAGTGGATTTAACAAGTTACATCAATAAGGGATCATAGCTTTCACCTTGATTCACCTGGTCACTCTATGTCATGGAAAGGGCATGTTTTGTACACCCAGTGTATACACAGCAATATCCATCCATATTTCTATTGATCAACCCGTCCATTACCCCCATCATTCACTCAGAGCCAACTATCTTTCATTTTGTTTACTAGTCTGGCTACCTATTTGTTTGTCTTTCCATCCACCCATGCCTCAGCAGGGCAAACAAACAAGTAATTGGGACACAACATATTGTAGAAAAACTGTAACATAGCCCAAATCAGACACGTACAGTAGCCCACTATGTGAGAAAAAGAACAGCACAACACAAAGAAGAAGATGCGTCAAACTGTGCACGGCACAATCACAAATGATTGTGCCGTGAGAAATAAAAAGGAAGACGTGTACCAGGACCCAATAGCTGGCTGCGAGATAGCACTCCTGGAGTGAGGATCATTTAAGAAGGAAAACAAGATGCCCAGTAGGGTGTTTTAATGAAAGATGGAGAAAAAAATTAAATGTTATGAGCAGGCTGTTTATCTGTGACAAAGACCAAGGATGATTATGCTGGGGTGGGGCGGAATATAGTTGCTGCTGTGTGATGCTGGCTGGTGTTCCCACAAGGTCAGCTCCTTGAAGAGTCACTCTGCTGGCCTGATTTACACTAGGATTCAATATGCAGATTTACTGATGATGCAGCAGTCGTTTTTCAGGCGGCCATGCCGGATCTATGGGACAAGCCAGGATCCTGTTTCTCATTACTGATTGCCACCTCTGTGGTCCACAGTCCTCTGGAGTAGTGAGGAGCCAAATGTGTCTGAGGTGAATTTATCTAGGCTTTGATTACTTGGTTGGGGAGGGTTGTGGCCTAATGAAGGCATTTGTATTTTATGTGTTTGTACTCAGTTCTAGTACTACCAATTTTACCAACTGACATTTCATGAGTTAAGCAGTTAGGCCGTGTGATACAGTGTAATTATTAAATTCCATGGAATCACATTACATTCAAAAAGCAAACTTCCTCTGAGATGTGTCCAGCCATGAAGAGTTACTGGGGAGCCTCTCCTGTTTCCAGAAATAGAAAGTCATTAGGCGAGTGGCAGGTGATAGGCACATTAAGAAAGCTCTGCAGTGACAGCATTCCCTTGTTGAAGACACTGGATGTATCCCTCCCTCAAGTCCCAATCTATTCCTTCTTTCCCTCTCTCCCTCCTTCTCTCAGGCTAACATGATTTTTAATCCTGCCCGCAGTCGCCAGAGTTGTATGACAGCAAATATGGCTGAAATGGCTAGAGGACAGGGCTAGGCGATGTCTTGAAGCCTTTGAGAAGCAGTGATGCTAATAACTGTGCCTTGATTCTCTAACCGTAGCTATACCAGTCCCCTGTAGCTCAGTTGGTAGAGCATGGCGCTTGCAACGCCAGGGTTGTGGGTTCGTTTCCCACGGGGGGCCAGTATGAAAATGTATGCACTCACTAACTGTAAGTCGCTCTGGATAAGAGCGTCTGCTAAATGACTAAAATGTTAAAATGTAATACCACAAACATTGTCAGTAGTAATACCTCTCACCTCTACACTGCAGTAATAAAGTGTAGATGTGCAGCACAAAATGTTATCATGTACTGTAGGTGGGCTCATTGTTGGTGAATGAGGCAACTTACTTCCTCTTGAAGTTACAAGCACATTGTGACCTGGTGGGATACATGCAAATAAGCTAGTAGTTAATTACATATTTCTCAGAAAGAGCGAGGGGTGAAGAAGGATTGATTGGTTGATTGTGCTTCATCTGAACTGCACGGGCAAGCAATTTCCTGAACTAAAGCAAGCTTGCAACAACTCCTCTTGAAGCCAGTCTTATTGCAGCCATAGTTGTTCTGTCAGTCGGTGCTGGAGGGAAAGATCTACAATTAGAAATTTTGAATAATGACTGCAACAGTGCATGAAGTTCACTTGAGCCCCTATGAATTACAGACACCATGAAAATGGCATATAAAGTGAATAATTTCATAGGTGTTAATTAAAAATACATGGTGATATCATTAAACAAAATGGGTATTAGACATAACGTTGCCACTCATCCCCGTTACATAACATATTGAAATGCCAATGCTCCTGAGGCCTCCAGCGTGACATGCTCTTAGCAATCCATTGTGCACATAATTGACAGGAAATCTGCTATAACCGTTAGTGGGATCCATCTAAATGAGAAGAGATGGATAGGATGTAATGTACTGTAGTATGTATGCACTCTAACACAAACCAATTATCCTGCTCTGGACAGAGATTGAGCATGCAATTCAAACAAATCCTAAAATTGACAAACACAGGATGATAACATTGTTCCTCTCATTTTAATCCAAATATGCTTGTGATTCTACACTCTTAGAAAAAAGGGTTCTTCGGCTGTCCCCATAAGATAACCCTTTTTGGTTCGAGGTAGAACTACAGTACATGGAACGCAAAAGGGTTCTACCTGCAACCAAAAAGGGTTCTTCAAAGGGTTCTCCTATGGGGACAGCCGAAGAACTCTTTAAGGTTCTAGATAGCACCTATTTTCTAAGTGTAGGTATGCTGGATTTTGGAGATCAAAGAGAAACAAAGAAAGCGTGTTCTAGAGCCATGGTTTTAAGATAGGGCTATGAAACAGTATGGCCCCACTGGGATTCTGAGTTGTGTTCTGCTTAATAATCCAAATCCTCTAAATCCCCCTTGGCCTGTTTCAGCTCTTTGATTGCTCCTTGTATATTTATTACGTTGTATGCCATTTTTATAATCTGGCGAACCAATAAATGTTCTGTATCTAGGGACGAGAGAGAGAGAGAGAGAGAGAGAGAGAGAGAGTGCATCGGTGGTGGTTTACCAAGGACAGTAATCTAGTTTTCTTGATGTGTTGCACTATAGCACACATTGATCGAGGGATAATGTCTGATATATTTTCTGCATTCACAGTGAGCACAGTCATGAGTGTGTGTTGTGTGTGCGTGTATGCGTGCGCGTGCATGCATGTGCATGTTTTGCCAACAATGGGGTTGAAGTTCAGGAGCAAAAACAAAAAAAACAGATAAAATAGAATAATTGTAAAATTGACTGTGTCCATAAGGTGTAGATAGTAAGTATAGGCTGGAAGTAGAGGCCTGGGCATTGTTGTTCACTAATTTACCCCAAGTAGGGAAAGGATGGCGGGTTTGAAAAGTAATAAAGGGGAGTATATATATAAAAAACATGGGGGATTGGAAGTGATGCAGACAATTACATTGATAGAAGTTACAATCTATCTGCAATATTAAGCTGATCTACCCCCAGAATTAAAAAAATAATAATAATAATGGGGTTGACCAGAGGTTATATAAAGAACAGTTATTCACTCTGCTAGGTTACCATGCATCATGCAATATGACCTTTATAGGAAGTAATTTATTCTGTGATAAGCAACGGGAGAAAAGCACCCTGTCAGCACCCATCAAGATGCCACTGTTTGATAGCCCAGGCAAGCACAGTAATCAATCTACTTTGAAACTTTATGCAGGGCTGCAGAGAGATTCGAAAAGTTCTTGTTTTGGCTTCTTGGTCAGTAACTTTACTGTAGCTTTCTGACATTTTGAAGTTTGCAGTGGTGGAGAGTTGCAGTTTAGACTTTAGATACTCTTAAATAATAAACGGATACAGTTATGTTGTCAATTGTGCTCATAACATAACATATTTACCATTTGGCAGGAAGGGACATACACTTCAATGTTAAGCAATGTTATTGCAAAGCTTATTGGGAGCCTGTCACTCTCAGTTTTACTCACAACAGAGTGACGTCAAGGGTAAGATATACATCTGTCTAATTTCCTGCTTGTCAACCTGCCTTCTGGCACCGAATCAAAATGAAAGACAGGAAAATGCCCACTGGGCACAGACGTCAATTCAACATCTATTCCACGTCGATTCAATGTAATTTCATTGAAATGACGTGGAAACCATGTTGATTCAACCAGTGTGTTCCCAGTGGGTGGTATCGCATTATAATGTTGGCTGAACAGGAAGGGAGAAATAGTGCCTTTAAGGACACAAACACATTTTACTTGGTGATTTGAGGATCTGATTTAACCATCACTGCATCTGCACTCTGTATCAATGTAGCTGTATATCATGTTTGTTCACCAACAAGTATTTGACTATGGACCCTATGGATCTTCGATAACCCCTATTCACGAGATTGGACTTCATGCAAGCAGCCAACGCAACCCCCTCCTTCAAGCTAAGAGTTGTCTAACTGAGCCAGAGACTGAGTGAATTTCCTTTGAGGTTAATGCCAGGAGTTTTTTCTCTTAATCTCCATTGCTGAGTAGCATCGCATCTGGCTTCTTGGAATCATGTGAAAGTACTATTGAGCATTGCCGGCCAACTCGTTATGAGAAGATAAGGGGATAAGAAGGAGGAGTCACCCTTCTTTTCAAGAGCAATGTCAGACCTAAAAGCACCCTCACATTTGACTACCCTAATTATCCCATAGATGGGAGCTTGGGCCTGGAGAGAGGCGACTACTGTGACTTTTATAAGGGAAGTGTTATTCTCTAGCAGAGAGTGGGACGCAGGTACCGATTGAAGAAAAAAGTCCATTAGCGTCTCGCCTCTTTTAAAAGGAAATAAAGCCTTTAAAGGTCCTTAAAATAAAATCGGTCTTAGGAGCCGGTCGTGGTACACATCACAGATGGAAAAAAAAGTTTTTTTTATAAAAGTGCTGTTTAGAAAGGCCTCATGAGCTGTCTTCTGCGCTTTGGCCCAATACGGTTCACTTAGCTGAGCACCGCTGAACATGCATGTGCTAGTGTGACACACACGTGGAGTTCATATATTTATGAACTATTCACACAGTCCCATTTGAAATATGAATGGCTTATCCATAGCTAAATGAATCACAGCCAGCAGTATTAATCACTGTCTTCATTTTGCTGGGCCCCAGGAAGAGTAGCTGTTGCCTTGACAGAAACTGATGGGGATCCATATTAAATAGAAATACAATATGTGCTATGTTTTTAACCATGTATAAGAGATATGGTTAGTTGATGAGTGTCCCCTTCTTAGTAAAGGAAATACAGCACACCGCTTATTTACGTGGAAATATAATCATGCCTGACACAAGGGCATGAATAAAACATTCAATCCAATCCTCTAATGATACCAATGATTGCTTGATGAGTTACATGTAGCGGCAGGTAGCCTAGCGGTTAGAGTGTTGGGCCAGTAACTGAAAGGTCGTTGGTTAGAAGGTGAACGGTGACAAGGTGAAAACTCTGTCGATGTGCCCTTGAGCAAGGTACTTAACCCTAATTTGCTCCAGGGGCACCGTATTACTATGGCTGACTCTGTAAAACAACACGTTTCACTGCACCTATCTGGTGTATGTGATATGTGTAAGGGCTCGATTCAATCCGTAGTGCTGAAGACCTGCAATATAGCGTGATAGTAAAGTCAATGTTCCCGTGTTCACAGAGACTGCATTCACTGTAAATATTGCATGTCGGCTCAATTGGAAATTAACTTTACATTTAAATTGCGCTACAGCGCAGATCTTCAGCGCTATGGATTGAATCGAGTCCTAAATCTCAACTCAGGATTTCAGCTAGTCAAATTCTCATGAAGATAACTCTCTCTATGATCACCCCCTATCCTCCCTCACTCCAACACACACACACACTGCAGGTGTCTCTGTCCCCTACTGTTCTTCTCATCTTTGTCCTGATTCTCTTGCAGGTGACAGAGACTCGTACGGGTCCCCTGGGATGTAGCAGCTATGATAATCTGGACTCAGTGAGCTCCGTCCTCCTGCAGAGCCCTGAGAGCAAGCTCCATCTGCAAGGTAAACATCCCGCCCATATCCCTGACCATACTTCCACCATGGGAGTAGAGTCCTGCAGGGGTCTGTTTTTTTTTTGCCACACCCACCCCCCACCGGCCACATCAATTAAAAGCCCCATTCGATATCCGACATCAGGATAGATTTTTCTCCACAACCTGATCCGCCTGCAAAGAATTCTTCTGAGAGACGGTCTGTGACCCGCCAAATAAAATCAATGTATTTAACTGTTTTTATGTCTCCAGAGTAGTAGGCTATTTGGCTATCACCGGATGAATTAATTTGTCTGCATGTCTATTCAACATTTGGGTAAAAGCAAACCATGCCATGAATGAAGAACGATAGGCCTATTTTATTATTTTCACAATGCAATGCGGCACATTGACTCAAATCGCTTTGAAGAAGAAAGCCTATAGCCGACATAACAAAACAATACCTTTACATTTAATATTGTTTAGATAATTAAATAGCTTAATTGAAAGTTAAATAAACAATTCCCAGAATCGAATAGGCTATAGGCTGCAAGAATAGCCTACATTTATTTAGTAGGCTATTGGCGACTCTAACTTTTACCAGCCACACAGGTTTAAAATGTATATGGCCTGTGTACTGTATGGTCTAAATGAACAAAAGCCTGAATTAATGTAATAATTAACAGATAATTAACTGAATTATCGAAACAAATACCTGCTTGCACTTTTGCAGGCTGTGTATCCATGTACTGGGTGGTTGTCCTCCTTGACTCCAAAATCCTTCCAAACCGGTGATTTCACTCGCGCGGCACCCGTTTCCACGACCATTATAACCTTTATTTTTATTTCTCCTGTTACGTTTGACCTGTTACCATTTTGATGTCACATGGACAAATTAGGAATGTTTCAGCACCGCACAAATAATGGACAGTTCCCTGCGCTCTCTCACTGCATGGCTGGTAGCCTTGACCTAGGCTATGTCTGCCTCACCGCTCACATAATGGGATTCGCATCGCAATTCAACACAACAAGCTCCTGGGTTTGTAAAAAATAAATTATCTTGATTTAAAACATTACCAACCCACAAAATAATTGTTCTGAACCACCCACCAGCTGATTTCCTTGCTGGTCAACTGCGGGCAACTGTGAGTATCCGACCCAATGCAGGACTCTACATGGGACGCTACATTGACTGGGGGGTTAAGGCCGGTGTCAATATTCCATTTTAGCCCCCAGTCCATTCACAAAATGAAATTCTGTTCATACATAGAAAAAGCTTCTTAGGGACTTTCGCCTGAGTTGCTTGAGCATTGAATATGAATGCATTTTGTGGAATAAACCGGAGATGGAATGGAATTTGCTCCACAATTCTGCTCTGGGGGATATTCTTCTATTCCTTTGGTCATGGATCTTCTATCCTTATGCTAATAATTTGGCCCATGAACGAATCAAACCCAACAGCCTGAGCAATCAGAATATTTTAACTTACCCACACACTTCATCCTAGACCACTCAATCAATAGGGAAGATCTTGTTATGTTTATTTCATTAACTTATTTACAGAAGTATATTTTTAGTTTGAGTATACTTAGATCACATACTGTATTCGAGATAAACATGTTTACATTAATTGACACGCATGTATCAGCTTTGAGTGGCAACTATAAGGTTGCAAAGATAGAAAAGTAGACAAACGTAGTAATCAGCGAGTTGCTTTTGAAGGAATCGTTCATTGTCATCTCCAACTCTTCTTCTATGAAGAATCTGCTTCAACTGTATCTTAGATGTACCACAGCTCCCATTGGGACAGTGATGAAAGCCACCGTAAGAGTGGTCAAGTTTCTGAGACGAGCTATCACTTTATATTTTATGCAGTTACCTTCAGTATCAACTACACCACTGCATCTCTCCCCAAAGGAATTGTTAACTGCTCTTTGGATTCAGATAATAATTTTTTGTGATAACACTTTTATTTATGTTGCCATTCTTTTCATTGGGTGGGTTGAAAGTACAATATTTAAGTTAATATCATTTCATATCATATACAAAATGTAAATGTATAAATTGATGGTTCGGATCATGGGATGCCATGGTCATATTTTTCAATATGTTGTTCCAGTTAAAGGGTTGTTCATATTTACTTAAATCTGTAGACCATACTTTTTGAATGGCTAGCTCAGAATATGAGCTTTCCAAAAGTTTTTAATATATTATAGAGATTAGTCCTTTCAGGAGCACAGATAATTTATTTATAAATCCCATCATTGGAGGTTCGGTAGTTGGGTTTGCCAAGGGACTCCATAGGCCAGCATAGCTGACCTAACTTGTAAATATAGAAAACATGTGTTACCTGGTAATGTGTATGTGTCTTTTTCAAACAAACCATTACTGTCCATGATATCGGCAACGGTACGGATTTCACATTTCGACCATTGGGGGGATACAAAAGGCCATCCTCCAGATCGCAAGGCATTATTGTGAAATATTGTAGTCTAGGCATGCCATTTCGTTTTCCAGTTACACTGTTTTTCAATTTTGTGCCCAAAATAAATTGTATGAGCAATAATAGGACCAGAGTTACTCAGTCTGTCATAAATGCTTTCAAACGGAATCTATAGGGTTTAAAAGGGCTTCATTCCCATGCAACTGCTGTATGGCCCCTGTTGCTTTGGAGAGTAACGTTTTGTCATCCAACTGATATGTGACAGCCAGATGAACAGCCTTTATCTTGCAGGTTGATACGATTTGGTGAGAAAGAGATTCATTTTTCAAATGCTGCAATTTTATGAAGGGATGTTTTGAAAGCATTTTTTTCACATTATCCCAAATTATGTGGTTTTAAAGTGTACTACAACTGAAATATATCCTCTAAGAGCAATTATAATCTCAGAGTTAGAGTTAATTAGAGAGCTTTTGTCATCAGAGTGGTATTAATATATTCCAACCATCACCAACTCTTCAACATTGATGACACTTCAATATTCCTGAGCAGGTGACACCTCTTTACTCTTTAGAGTCTCTTCAGAGAGAATTATGATTTCATAATCATTTAATCCAGCTGGTGGTATAAACGGCTGTGAAAGAACAGTATTTCCTTGTGAGTATTTTTGTAAGTATGTTGCTCTTATATTCCTGTTAGTATTTCACTTATGTGGGAACATTGAAGCCACTGTATGCCAAAAGCAGAAGCTTTGGATATCTATGCTACAGTAGATGGCTTGACATTACCTCCAACCTTTCCTCTCATTGTTTAATGTGTGAAATCCCGCCAATTAAACCAATGCTGGTTATTTGTGCCAATTGACCCTCAGGTCCTATAAACTGCACTATAGAGTCATTTGTCTTCTCTCTTTGCTGGTGTAGTGCCTCTCCACACATCCCTGCTTGATATCATAAAATATTGAGCTGAAGCCGCGAGGTTTTATGCCCTCTGTGTATGTCATATGCCCTCTGTGTATGTCAAGGCCGTCATGCAGATGACAAGAGAATACACTGACAGCCTGATCTTAGAAGTGTTTACTACTCTCAGCATACAAGGAGATATTAGATGACATTTGCACTGTGCAGCAGTCATTTCGTGGTGGTGGTGGTGGTGGTGTGTGTGTGTGGGTGTAATTCAAAGTGGAACTGACAGCGTTTTAACTACTTTGCAGATATGAAACAAACAGACAATCATATTATCAGTCAAAAATAAAAAATTCCCAGTTTATGCTACAAAACCAACTTCATAAGAGGGTTTAAAAATAGGTTCTTGAAATATTGAGCTGAAGCCGCGAGGTTTTATGCCCTCTGTGTATGTCAAAACAACTTCCTGACAAATTAGAAAAGTGTAATATTTGAAAATGTAGCTAACTAGACTATCTTACCCGTATACATGGATGGACGCTTCTCCCTCTCTGTCACGGAGGCCATGGTTGCCCTTAGTTTGAAGATGTAATCCGGAGACAGGTGTTTTATACAACAGCCTTCATGTGAAGGAAATGCTATAACCACCCCCCAGCCACATCTAGCTAAATTGATGGGTCACTATTGTCTAGACATATACACGTTCATGAAATACAATAGATGGCCATAATCACCCCCAGACACACCTGGCTAATTTGATGGGTCATGTAATAATCCAGCCAAAGTGGAGTCTTTTGTTTAGACATGCAACTAGCTAGGTAGGTAGCTAGCTAAACAATGAACCGGCATAATCCCAACTCAGTATGAAAATGTATGCACTCACTAACTGTAAGTCACTCTGGATAAGAGCGTTTGCTAAATGACTAAAATGTAAATGTCATACTACTACCAATACAAACATTTTCATAGCTGTAGTATGAATCTTCAGGTAGCTAAAGCTAACAAACTAGGTCAATGTTAGCTAGCTAACATTAGGCTATAACTAGCAATGCAAATAGGATTTATGATTCGAATAATATTACTACACAGATCATACACGTAACGTTAGCTAGCGAGCCATCAAGCTAACGTATGCTAGCTAACTAACAGTACGCTTTAACTTGCAATAAAAACGACTTTCTGACTAAATTAGAAACGTATATCTGAAAATATAACTAGACTCTTACCCGTATACATGGATGAACGCTTCACGGCAGACTGGAACCATTTAACTCTGTTTTGTTTGTAACTACACCTTGTTTGGCCAGTGTTGTGTCAAGTCACTCCGGTTCACACTGACCGTGACGTGTGCAGAAAGTAGCCCATCACTTTTTCCAACTGATCTGTCGATAGTGCCTGCTAAATTCAGGGCATCAATGTTGTTGAGAAAAGTAGCAAAACTGTTGTAGTTCTCGATGGTTAACGTTATATCTTTAAAAAATGGCATGGTAGAAAGGACTGTCAACACATACTGAACAGCTCGCGTTATAGACAGAAGCATGCTACATGGCAGACCAATCCAAACTCATCTCCCAGCCTGTCCAGCCCATCCATTATCTCAGCCAATCACGGCTAGTGGGAAGGTCCCTTTCTTTTTCTTTGGCTAAACCAACTAGGCTAGGTTTGGATGGAATACAAGCTTGTTATTGAGGCACATGAAAGTTCACATGTTCCAGAAGGCATTTCTGACAAAAAACGAATTTTTA